TCAGTCAGCCAGTCAGTCAGTGAATCAGTTGCCGCATACTAAGTACCATTAGATGTGGTTTCTGATGCCTTGGCAGAGCGCGCTGCAAGGATTTGGCGTCTTATCGCGCTGCAGACGCGACTCGCTGTTTGCTCTTGTGGCATGCAACTTGGCAGCGCCAGCATGAAGAAAGACAGAAAATTATCAGCCTGCAACAACAATGGCCCTGTGGGCAAAGAAAAAGCAAACTTCTCTGCTCATTGCCTCATCCTCGCGACCAGCACAAGTTTTGAGTAATGAAACCGCCGCCAAGGCTTCTGGCCGGGACTTGAAATTTATGCGCAAGTTGTGTTTTGTAAATCTTACGGATTAATTATTACAACTTGGCAATGTTTACAATGCATTTCAGTTGTTGCCTGGTTTTTGTTTATGCTTAAGTATCTTATCTTAAGACGTTTCGTAAGCTCTCCATTCCTTCTGCTTGTCTCTTTTCTGTAAGCTTTTGGGCATAAAAACTTGGTCGGAGCTTAGCCTAGATTGTGATCAGGTTGTAAAGTGGGCCAATAGCTCGTGAGCTGCTCGCCCCATTGAGCGTAGTAAATTGAACGCATAGAACCATTAAAAGAATCGCATCGAATTGCAGCTGTGTGGCATGTGGCAAGTGGCAAGTGGCAGGCAGCTTCTAACAGACTTGCGCATGTGATAAACATTTTTTAATTAAAAACTAATGTTGCGAAAATATGAGACAAGGCAACATGCACACAAGACGGGCAGGAGAAGGAGGGGGAAGTCACAAACACACACACACACACACACCAAGAGACACACACAAAGTAAATTACGCCTAATTGCGAATGTTTAATTATGCACTAGTTTAATTTTATGGTCTTGCGGTTGAGTAGGGGACACAGACTGCTTGAACTGCGGCGGTGGATGGGAGCGAAAAGGAGGAGTCGTTTAGTCGAGTCCTTTTTTGGGTTGACGTATATAAAGACATTAGACAAAATGGGAAGTGGATGCTTTGGACAGCTTACGCAGTTACCACTTATACAATCACAAACCACACCCACATCCACACAGACTCAGTCGGAAAACGTGGGTATACGCAAAATGTTTGTATTAACATACGTTACGAGCCATATTTGGTTGTAACTGCGGGGGCTGCCTTGCCGCTTAGCTGCTGTTCCGCCCACCTCCCTCAGGGCTTTAGCAAGCTTTAATTTGCGCAAGCAGCACAGCCAAGAGCAGAAAATAATTGCTGACTACGTAAGCGTTGATAACACAAAAGGATATTCAGCCAAAGCACAAACACAAGTCGCCGTTTAGTACTGTAATTTTTGTTGTCCTTATTCTAGTTGTTGTTTGTAGTTTCCCCCACAGTCAGTGGGATATGCCAGTTAATGATGGGCACTCGACAATGCTGGCAGCTTTTGCCAAAGGACTTCTTCACTCGCACTCGCTGAAATTGTTTTCCAAATTGTTTGCGGCATAATAGAAAATGTATTTATAGAGAAGTGTAGCGCGGCACAATAACCAGCAGAATTTCATCTACAATTCTTTGGAACTTTAAGTAAGTACTTGCTATATTGTTAAATATAAAATGGTTTGCTATGACTGAGCAAATGATAAGGTAATTTTAGCGTTTATAAATCGATATTTGTGTTTATTTTTGCACAAGCTTTTTGCTATTAGAAATTTCCCAAAAATATATATTATTTATGTGTATGAAATATTTTTAAACAAAATTTAAAGTACTTAAAAAAATAAAAACAAATAAAGAATTTCTCCGAAGATACACTTCTTTGCTCTGTGATAGAGTATACCTTGAGAGCTCTCAATTGATAGCCAATAGCTACTCGACCAAGTTTACCCTCTTCGCAAAGTAAACAAAGAGAAAATTGTTGCAAGTTTTTTGTTTTTGGTTTTTTTTTTTTTGCAGAGTTTACCTTTGGGGCATGCCACTTTTCAAAAACTGGCCAAACTTATAATGTGTGCAAATTGGCCTATAAAAAAATCATGTGTGAAAATTTGCTACCGAAAATGTAAGGACCTGGGAAATTGGCTGGTCGAGTGTCCTGGGTCGTATTTTGTTGAGCATAACGGTGACCCTTTGTGGTTTGCCTGGGGACTTGCTTCTATTAGGGGCCCAAAGTAGATGGGAAAACCCTTTGCTATCAGCACCTTGTCTGGGGCACTCGACAAATTGGACTTTCATTAACCAGGCCACCAAACAGAGCTGGGTAAATATATATGAGAGCAAGAGGGAAACATAGACAGGTTGATAGATAAAGTGAGAAATAGAAAGAGAGAGAAAGTTAGAGCGAGTGCAACGGCAATTTTTTTGTCTATTCTTGTTGGTTTTTGGGTTTGCTCAACTCTCAGACAATTTAAAATTAATTGGTTTCCATGTCTGTTACGAAAATGTGCAGGATATATTAGAAGGAGCAGGCAAAAGCAGAGGGCCGACAAGGGGCCGCAAATTGGTCAGCTACACATTTAGGACCAGGCTCTTGCATATCTTGTGTGCGGTATTTCACGCAAAATGAAATCACTTGAAAGTGCCTCCCACACTCGCCCTCGCCTCCCGTCCTGCCCCCCTCCGGCATCGGCAGGCAAAGAGAGCAACATCATAGAGCAAACAATAAAGCGAAATGGTTTCCTTTTTTTTTTTTTTGTTTAATTTTTATACCTCTTTTTTGTATGTGAAACATTTCACAAATTTGCCTTACCATCAAAGGGATGAGTCGGCTTGCGGTTGTCTGAGGGGCTTTTGTTGGGGCTCAGAGCAGCAGCTGATGATGCGCTGCCTAATTAAATGAAAATTCATGGCGTATGCCATGCAAATGAAACTTTGTTGGCTATTGAATTGTTGTTGCTTCTTGTTATTGTTGTCTGCTAAAAAGTATCTCAAAATTACACCAAAACAATGAGGCGTATGTGTGTGTGTGTGTGTGCGGGGTGTGTGTTTATGTAAGAGAACACACAAAGTTGTTTTGTTAATAAGATACAATGTTGTTGCTGTTGTTTGTTTGTGCCTGTTTTTAAAAAAGTCATTTCTGTTGCGTCGAGTTGCCTGGCAGCCGCCGCTACTTTGGCAATTATTTGAGTTGTAGTACAACAACAAAAGCAGAACAAACTCAGACACACACACACACACACACACACACACAGAAAGAGAGCGTACAGACATGTGCATATAATTACTTTGTGTACATTTGCATGGCAACACAGACGGAATCAGTGCGAAACATTGTAATGCGTATACGCAGTGTGCGCCACACTAAACTCAACTCAGCTCAGCTCGACTCGATTCGCCTTGGCTCGTCTGTTAGGGTGTTTAAGAGGCATCCCTTGACTGCTGTAATATGCTGCCATGTTATGTCGTAAATGTCGCTTTTTATTATTTTACACACATTCTTGTGAGTTCGCGCGCGTTTGTGTGTGTGTGTGTGTGTGTGTGTATATGTACTTCACCATCAGCTTTCGTTTTTGCTAACGGCTCAGAGCTTTTGTTTTATTTACATTTCAGCTCGTGCTTGTCTGCCTGACTGTCTGCGAATGCCTTTGCCGAGGCTGACTGCCATCTAATTTTCTATGTAATGACAGGAGGACAGGCCGTCAGGCTGCGACAATGACAAGGACATTCCACAGCTAAGGAATGTGTTACAGCTACAAGCTGCCACTTTGCGCAAATATTTAATGGCGTTGATTTTTATAATTAAATTGAAGCAGCAGCTGCTGCACGAACAGGCTGATTAAACAAAAAGTAAGAAGACAGAAACGCATAAGACCAGCAATTTATATGCACAGACTAAAACACGAAGGTAAGAAGATTTTCAGCACTTTAGCACATTTGTTACACCTGGCGTATGCATAATGTGTTGTAATTTATTATTGGTTTTGTTTGTGTTTTTTTTTTGTTTTTTCGCGTTCCGTCTGCTCATTTTTATTACCCACCTCTTAGCTGATTTATGGACAGTCTAATGGTAGTCTAAAACTTTTGGCTAAAAGCATTCGATACTTTCTGAAATTATGTTCCCGCCATAAGACGATAATTGACAATTGACAATTTCAATAAAATAGTATTTTCTTTTATATATAAAAACACTTTTTTCTAATAAATTGATGTTATATATATAATATCGACTCAACTTCGCTCGGGAATCGTTTGGGAGCATTTTGATAATAATAATTTAAAGAGTTAGACAACTTATCTAACAATATCAGCTCTAAAATTTTTGAACTGTTTAATAAATGATAAAAAAACTTTTACAAAATTGTTCCCATTTTATTTGTTCTTTAAAAATATTTGAATGAATATTATTATCTATCTTATTTTGTAAAAGTCTAAAACATATTATTCTCTACACACTATTATAATAATATAGTCTGTATAGCTGAATGAGCCTTGAAGTAGACAAAAACTTTCAAAAAAAATCAAATCATTAGACCTCTTAAAGTATTGATTATACTGTGTAAATAATAAAGAGCAATTAGCTCGTAGCCCTTTGTATTAAGAGGCCCATCTTCTCTCAAGAAATATCTAAATAACATATTTTGTTGTTTCTACTCAGATACTTTTATGTTTAATCTCTCAACCAACAACCATTTTCTGATCAATTTACAATTCCTGCTTTTTAAAATATATATTTTATTCACACATATTTTCTGTAATACAATATAGAAATGTTTACCCCCTCATGGGTCTAGCATAACCCGCAATCTATAATTATCAATATTACTAGGCTAAAGCCCAGCTAAAGTCGGTAAACCCGATATTAGCCGCAAAAAATAAATTGAAATACAAAATCAAATTTACAAATCATTTAACAAATTTCACACATCTGAAAAAAAATTAAATAAAACATATTATCATAGGGAAATATTTGACCAAAGTGCAAACGTAATTAATTAAAATGCTATTCGAGAGGATAAAAAAAAAACCGCAGCTACCAGAAATATATTGAGCTGACAGCTAATAAACAATATTTCAATACGATTTGTGGCAATTGAACACTTACCGCAATTTCATAGATTGCTGAATTCAATGGAATTTGTTTAGAGTTCTTTATTCGCATAGTTGAATTGCAAGTATTGTCATATTCATTGGGCTTGTAAGTGTTTGTGCATGTATTGATGCTTGTCTGTGGGGCACGTTGCACATACGCCGTGTGGTGCGTATGGCATGTGGCGCAAATTAAACACAGTCACGCACGCAATTCACTGAGCTGAGATATTTTAATTGACACACATGCTTGGCACTTGCCACCTGACAGATGCTGTAGACGATCACGATGACGTTGATGAGGAGCCACAGCCAGTCGGCCAAGTCGGCCAGTCTGGCAGGCAGGCTGGCAATTCAAGCCTACGGCTAACGAGGCCAATTGTTGAGTTGCCTCAAACTTGGGCTCAAACTTAACATCAACCCAAGAATGTAACTGTAATTGTAACTGTAACTGAAACTGAAATTGAAACTGAAACGTTCGCGTCACTTTGTTGCACTACGTAACGCACTGAAACGTAGACTGAACGCGTCGCGTCGCGTACGGCAATTGAAACAGAAGTTTGGGTTGGTCGTCGTCATTGCGGAAGATGTAGCAGCAACAGCAACAGCAACAGCAACAGCAAAATCAGCAGCAACGTCGGCTCGACAGCAACGGCAGCAGCGGCAGAGGCATCCCAATCAGTGTGTGCCAGTGGCAGCAAAAATCTGGGCAGCAGCGCAGACCAGCACAGAGCAGACCAGACCACCTACAACACGCAACGACGACTGAACGAGCGATTGCGAAAGGACCAAAAACATCACCAGCCACTGGCAGCCTAATAACGCAGTCACTAGTCGACGTCGCAGCAGCAGCAGCAGCAGCAGCAGCAGCAGCAGCAGCAGCAGCAACAGCAGCAACAGCAGCAGCAGCAGTAGCAGTAGCAGCAGCAGTTGGAAAAAGTACGAGCCATACTGGCGGCTCGCACGATGAGCAAATCTTGACACGAGAGCGCAACCTGGGCAGTGGGTGAGAGCCGAAGGACGAAGGATTCGAGTGATGTGAGACCCTGCGGTGGCATCGGGCCACGAACTATTTAAGTGAAGCTTGCAATTTGCGTAGCGCATCGGCATTTTGTGCCGAAGTTGTTATTGTCCGAGTTGTTGTTGTTGCCTTCCTATTGCACGGCTGTACAATTGTTGGCTCAATGCACAAGCAGCAGCTGAAGCAGCCGCAGCAGCAGCCGCGGTGGCAGCAGCAAACGCAGCCCATGGTCGCATTTCTCCTGCTGCTGTTGCTGCTGAAGAGACGGGCAATGGAACGAGTGGTACATCGACGGTAACGGACTATTATGTAAAACGTGTGGAATTGAAACAATTGCCGTTACGTGTTTTGTGATCTGTTTAGGAATATGGGCGATTCGACGATGTGGGCCAATCTGTAAGGGAAATTACTTTCGATAATTTATTTTATATATTACGATTACTAAAAAGTGATCACAGAGTAATCTTTTCAATCTCTCAATTTCTCAATTGTTAATAAAAATATATGTAGTATCAGGAAAATCTCTTCCAAATGTTTGGACAAACTAGCCTGAGTTTCTCCGCACTTATAAGTAGCGGAGTCTGGTGTTTATATAGGTGGAAAGAACCCAATCTTAATTCTTTGCCTAGTTCCAGAATGTCTAATTTTATTTAAATATTTCCAAACTAGTTTTTTTATTTTAGAAAGAAAATTCCAAATTGTATATTTTGTTAGTTATAAAATGTATTGCAAATGAAAGTTGATTAAGATTCGGCCAAGTTCCCCTCCAAATCGAAATTTGCGCTTTAATTTTTATAACGCCATAATGCAGATTTGTAAATTTGTAGTCAATTTTGTAAACTTAACAGCGCCTTAACATTTCCTTTACAGCCTAGTGGCTACAGGGATGTAAACAAAGTGAAACATAATGGAATGTAACAAAGTTTCTCTCTCTCTGTCTCAGTTAGCTTATTGGTACATTCTCTCAGCTATGCAGGACGCATGCGTCGCAACAACAACAACAACAACATCAAAATCCCCGAAATTCCGACGCAGGCATCGGACAGAGCTCGTCGACACGAACATAGAGGCAACACCGGCAGAGGCAGCAGCAGCAGCAGCAGCAGCAGCGACTGCGGCAGAGGTAGAAAAAACTTGCACAGAGCCACACAAAACACAACTTGCTCCACATATTCTAGCCCTACTTACACAGCGACATACTCCCCCACACGCACGCAGACACACACACAGATACACACACACACACACACACAGAGACTGCTGACAGATATTTTACAGAGCGGCTCAGTCAATACGTTGGTTATTGGATGCTGCGCTGTTGCTGCCGCTGCTGATGTTGGCGTCGCTGCTTTTTGCTAGGCTTTTGCTGCTGCTATCAGCCAACTTTTTGGCCGCTGTGCAGATTTTCAAATGCTGCCGCTGATAACAGCAACAAAGTGGCAGCCAAAATACATTAAAAGCAGGAGAAGACGACCCAATTTTTTGTTGCTGCCAACGTCATCGGCCTCACGCACAGTCCCCAAGGGTCTCGGTAGTGGCCAAGTGTGGCGGTGTGGGTGCTCCCTGGCCAGGTGTTCGAAATGCCGACTCTAAGCTGCGTCTGGCGGCACATGAGAGCAGGCAGCGCCTTTAAATGACTTGGCTAAAATGGGGCGCCATTTAAATGAAGAGGGCAAATACATGCCTCGGGCTGCCGCATTCTTTTATTTTTATATTTTTTGTTTTTTTTTTTCTGTTTAATTCGTAAGTTTAACTTTGAATTTGGTTTGTGACGCCTTGCGGCCCGCCTCTCGACTTAATTAAATGTTGTTAGAAACGCTTTTCATTCAACTGCATAAATTACAAAGCAAAGTACCACTAAACAAGGGATACGGCCCGGACTCTGGCTGTGGGCCTACGCCACGCCCTGAGGCTACTAAATTATAAGGAAGGACTCGTTCTTTACACTTTATGCTAAATCGAATTAGTGTCTCGACTCTCGATTGTGTAGTCTTAGGTTGTGCTTTGTGTAAATATGCCAAATAAATGGCTGACAATTGGCATTGAGTACTTATGGAGAGCGACTTTTAAGAGTTTAAAGAACCTAGTTTTTATTTTAAATTCGATGAAATATCAGGGTATCCCGTTTCGTAAGAATGTATTAAATTCTTCAGGCACTCAACTGATCCCTTTTCGTTCTCAGAATTGATTGAATTCGATCTGATCTTGACTTTATTATTTGTTGTTTAATTTATGATCAAATTTGAGCAAAATGATTCGGCTAATGGTTTGAATGAGCATTTGGCATGTGCTTGCCGGTCATTTAAATGACAAACTTCATAACGTCTGCTCAGCAGTAGGAAACTTAATATGCAGGACAAATCGCGCTGCAGGATACAGAAAACCAATTGTGGTGACACCCCATGGTGAGAGTCCATTTTTATATAATAACCCAGTCCCATCCTTCAGTTGCCTTCGAGTTTCATTACTTTGAGGCGCATTAGTTTAAGGCGAAATTGTGGCAACATCAATTTGTTGTGCTAACATTTATTGTAATTTATGATTTCGTTTGGCAGCTGCATTGTGATTTATATTTGGTGGCCAAAAAGGATTCGGCTGCTTTGAAGTGCGGCATTGGCCCCAGGACCCTGGGCATTAACTCGCCTGGTAATGTCACACGGCAGGAAAAGTTTTGCAAGTTGCGCAAAGTTTTTTTGAGTTTTAACTTTTTTATTTTTTTCAGCTTTTTCATCTGCTTGTTTCAGCTGCTTTAACTCGCATTTCAAAGTTTCTCTCAATACTGTTGCAAGCAATTCCTAAAAAATGGCATACAATCTGTCAGCGAAATGTTGCTTACCAAGTGGCAGTCGCACCCATCGAAGGGGCAGCTGCTCGAAAATCAATTGAAAATTTCCCTGGGTCTCAGGTGTTTATGGACGGGACAGACCAGAAAACTTTTTTATTACAAATCCCAGCGAAATATCGCCATTGCAGCAAATGTCAATCGTAAGCCCAACAAAGTAATGCCCCAAAATGAAGTTTTCTTATTCGACACTCAGTAACATTCAAAGTATGCGAAAAGGCTATACGTATTAAGCGGGAGAAAAGCAAGTGAACTAAATGTCAATTTTTTTTAATAGTTGGGGCTCTTCTAATATTGCTCTTTGAAAAATATACCATATAGACCCTGCTGCGTATACTATGAAATCATAAACAGGGTATCTTCTCGTTCAGTCTTCTATAACACCCCGACTTCAAGTCACTTTGCTTTGTTTGGCTTTGTTCGGTTCACAATTGGCAATTACATTGCTATTAGATTTGGCCTGAGCTACGCCCTATTTATAACGTCTAAACAAAATGCATATTTCATGTTCCATCATTTTGAAAAAAAAAACGTTTTTTCCGGCTTTCCATTAAAGCAGATAAAAAATTATAAAAGAAATATGTTGTCCCACCTTTTTGGGGGGCACGTGACTGACTGACAGCTGCTGACCAGAACAAGGCTCTGACGAATGCTGGACTGCAGAGGGTGGAGTGTTACGGGGAACGTGTCTCGTCCGGGCATCATGTTGCGGCCATGTTGTTGTTGCTGTCATTCCACGGAAAATGTCAAGCCAACAGCGCAAATTAGCCAAACGTTTTCGTTCATGGTATTTGTTGAGCAACGTGGCCAGGGCGGTGAAGCGCGTGAATTGTAAAACTTTATTTTGACAGCACTTGTCTTGGACACCTTATGCCTGACACGTGCCCCAATAAGTGGCACGGGATATTAAGGGGCGTGCAACACCTCTGTCTGGCCAAAAACTTTTTCTCAATGCCCTTTAAAAAATTGCCAGCAGTGTTTTTCTTCTGTTTGTATTTCTGCTTGTGATATTCTGTAAATTTATTGATTGTGGGTTGCGTCTCATTCGGCAAGCCATCTGCAATATATGTAAACCATCTATATAAAGCTGAATGAGGTGACATAATGGTTTGTTGTTCTACCGATCTGCTTAAAACTTGTGAGTTTCCGACTAGAGGATACCCTAAACTCTCTAACATAGCTCGCGAGATGGAGTTAACCAACGGACGGAGAATGCGTGCCGGTAGAAGAAGCAAATCTTAAATTACACAGCTGACGGTTGTTAATTAGGTAGAGAGTATCTCACAGTTGAGCACTTTCCACACTTTAATTATATCTTATATCTTTTTATATATATATAGCTTCCAGATCTTTTCTCAAATCGTCTGTTGCTAGTTCATAGGAGATTTGCGTGTCAAGTTGTTTCTTGCGTATCATTAATTTTCCAATTATTGGGTTGATATTCTCAGATGAAATGCCTAAAACTTGTTACTGCCATGGCTCATGGCTTAGTCTATTTGGCAAGTATTTAACTGCACACACAAAAACATAATTAATTAGATCTAAAAAGTACACAAAAACGATTTGCCGCTAAATCGTGAGGCTCCTCAACGAAGTGCCCTGTAATTACCTTTTGGTTGCTCCATGAAATCAGCAGAAAATCACAATTCGAGGAAATTAACTCATTTCCACATAAATTAGTTCCGAATGCCGCTCGATGCTGCAAAATATTATGCGTCGATTATGATTAACGATCATGGGCCGCAATTGGGGCGAGATAGGCTAACTACGGGGCATAAATAACTCAACGCATTGCAGTGAGTGTGCACAAAATGAGCCGCGCCCAGTTTTTGAGGGGCGGCGCATAAAAATCTACGAAAAATGACTGCTGTAAGAGATTTTATTCATACCCTATGTGTATGCCCAGAAGGGGCGTATAGCTTATACAAATGTGCAAAAGATTATACTATTTATAAAGACTTACAATTACTATCTTATATGATAATTATATACATATAACTATATACATATAACTATATATAAATATATAAATGTGTTAATTCCCGATCGGATTGTAGAAAAACCTTCTATTGCGCTTTTAACAATTTTCCGAAAACCCGTTCCAGAATGAAAGTACATCGGTTTTTTGTAGTTATATATAATTTTGAACCAGCCTTAACTATGCTCGTAAGATACAGGGTATTCAAAAAACGAAGACAACAATTCGGGCACAAACTTTTTTACTCACTTCTATATATTTTTTTATAAATTTTTTTTATTTTTTTCTGCACCGCCTAGAAATATTTATGAGCTGTGCACGCGACGTTCGCTGGCGGCCAATTTCTGAGGCCAAGCCAGGAATTCAGTGCGGGACGCGGCAATTACGCGAGCCTGGAAAAAATATTGCCAAAGTCATTGACTGGCCCAGGAATTTATGAATTATATAGAAAGCAGCAGGAGAATGAACATTGGCAAAAAGATGAAACAAGATGCTCTGGCCAGGGCGGCAAAAGGAATATCTTCTGGATATAAGTTATTTGCACGCATTGCGAAGTTTTTCACTTTTCACAATTTCATGAAAAATACATTAAAGTGAAACGATAAATCTGCTTACTTGTGGGCACGGCATTGGTAGGCAGTCATTAAAAATGAATTTGTGCCAAAGCTCAGCTAATGAATAAAGAAATTTCTTTCGATTCAAAAGCTAAGTATGTGTGTGAGTGTGTGTGCAGTGCTGGTGTGTATGGCATTCGTGTTTAGGTATGTGTGCTGAGGTCCTTTGCAATCAATCAGTTGCCCAATTCGGCCTCACTCTGACATTGCGCAATGACCGAGGAGTCAGCTCGTTCATCTGTTTGCTTGTTTGTTTGTTTGCCTTTGCTTTTCGTGCGTTGAAGGACATTTTCAAGGCACAAACGCCGGAATTATACATTTGACATATTAGTGCAGGCCGATGAAGAAATTGATTCTTGCCATTCAGTACGAACTCAACTCAAGTGTCCAAAAATGTCCAGACTCAAATATTGGGGGCTGAGCTTTTGTTTGCCTGTTAATAGAAAATTGAGTTATTGAGCATCGAAAGGTTAAAAAGGTTTTTGCCAGTTTCTGCTTCTCAAAAGTTTGTTTAGAAATATATTTTTTTTTTTGTTACCAAAGGGGTCTTAAATTTCAACATATTTTGTGTGTTAGCTCAAATATTTACATTGTTTAAACTCAAATTTAATGCTATCTACTTTTTAAACCAAACCATTTTCAAAGATCTTTGTTTAAATTCATTTGGGTGGTGCCTCACGCATTGCGGAAAGTTCATCCATCTTTGGTGGAACTGAGGGTCCAATATGGGTGAATTTGATTTTCAAACATCTTTCTGTATAACTAGTCGGTACTTTCCGGTCTCGCTCATCCAGTTTCCCGCTTGTATTTAAATCTATCTATTTACTATCTGCAACTGAACATTTAAAGCTGTATTTTGCATATATATTTGAAAGTAACCTTGAAGTCCTTCGAATAACGAACCAAAAGTTAACTTTCGCTTAATTGACCCTCCAAATTCATTTGTTTATGCAGGGCAAAAGTTTAATAATTTAACTATATGTTCAAAATGAAATTAAGTTTAACTTGGCACAAAAAAAGCACAAAACTACCCACGAGCATTGCATATTCCCGCTAGTTATAAATAATAAAGTTTCTTTCATGATTTGTAAATCAAAATGTTTCCAAAATACGGAATACAGCAACGTACTAAAGACGAAAAAGTGGCTCTTAGAATTTTCTAATAAATTAAATGTAATAGAGAAAATATATAAAAAATATTATAATATTTATTAATATATAATAAACCTTACGAAAGTGTGTATCTGCAGATCAATGTGAGTGTAACATTCAAGTTCAGATAAACATTGAATAGGGAGCACGCTGACAAGCTCAAAAGAGCTCAAACTCACAAATGGGCAGGCGAAGAGGTCGTCAATGTCAGGAAAGCATCTGCTTGGTTTATGAACATGTCCGCTTACAATGTTGTTTATATTTGTACTCGCTGTATGAACTTACCAAGACTCACAGAGACATATATGTATGGGAATGTACATACATATGTATATGGATGTAACTCGCGAGTAAGGCATCTAATGAAATATCCCAGGGGATACTTCGATTGGGCGGTCGTCCTGATGAGTTCTACACAAACATTTGAGCAGTGCTGTCAACAACATGACAGACCGAGAGGCAGATGGGTAGCAGGAGTGGGGAGGGGGGTGTGCAAGCCACAGGACACGCGACACGAGGCAGAACGACAGAAAGACAGATAGTTGACGTATTTTGTTTATGGGCCATGCCGCGCACATTGATGACAGTCAAAATCTATCAGGGAACAGAGAGAGAGAAAGAGAGGGGGGCAGGGCCTGTTAGCTGATGTGTTAGTTGAGCAGCACGTGATGTCATTAGCAACGGCAGACACAAACGCATTTGTCATAAAGCAACAAAATGATGCCCCAAAACTCGGACGGCGATGCAAATGAAAATGGAAGTCAGCGGGGCCGCAACCACAACGTGCGTCACGCACACCCGCCAATCATCGTCAGCGGCGCGGAGAGTCCGCTGGGCTGGGTGGGCTGGTGGCATTGATGGAGCATCAATTGCAGCGGAAGGTGGCATCACTTGATCTATGCCAATGCTGGTCGTTTATTGAAATTCCTTAATGAGCGGCAGCAGCAGTTGCGGTTGAGCTGCAATGCAATTTCCGCCTCGAGGTGGCAGTTGCAGTTGCAGTTGTTTGCTGTTGTTGTTCGTATTGCATTTGCCCGGGCAATTTGCGTGCAGTTCAATTAAAATGCGTGAATGCAGTGGCAAGGTCTGCGAGAAAAGAAAATGCTGAATTCTGCACGGTTTCGAATTGTAGGCGACATGCGGCTAACGCGTCGTATGCGCAATCAACAAAGTGACAAATTGACTTTTGCTCTGGCTGTTGTTGTTTGTCCGCCTGCCTCCCTGTCTGTCTATCTGTTGCGTCAACTGGCTGCTGTTGCCAATTACCGCTAATGTCGCACAGTTGCCGCATTCACATAAAATTAATGATAAGCGCGCTATAAAATAAGTTTTACTGCAGCAGCAGACGACGCGTCGTCGAGTCGTCGAGTCGTCGACTTGAAGCAACAGCTGAGCAGCGCGTTGCGGCATCCTGCAGCCATATCCTGGCAGCGAAAAGGTTATGTCACAATAAAATTAAATCCAACAAGCGTAAAGTAGGTGAAGTGCCTGCCTGCTGCCACTTTTTTGCTTCAGCAAATTGAAAACTTTTGGTCGGGGTTTACGACTTGAGCGCTACGAGCCATGACTTTAACTAATTGCCTGGCATCTAATTTGTTGCTAAGCGGCTTAGACACTGCCTAAAGGACCACTGTCCATCCCTTTGGCAGCTCTCCCTCTCTTTCTCCCTCTCTCTCTCTCTCTCTCTCTATCTTATTTTTATCAGTCGGCAGCACCCAACACATTAGCATATTTTTAACTTTTATGCTCTGTGTAGTTGTTTATCTCGTGGAATAAGCTTGCGAAATGCCTGAATATAAAAGTCTTATATCAATCTTGCTACAACTGAGTCTCCCGATTCCCGTTTCCCTTTTCCTTTTCCGTTGTCCTTGTCGCTGTCGTTGTCACTGCTGCTACGTCTTTTTCGCCTTCTCGGCAAAAGTTTGAAGAGCCACCGAGAACTGAGGAACTGAGGAACTGGGGAACTGTTTGCAAGTCCAAGTCACCGGGCAACGCACCTTTGCTTGAGTCGAATTTTTTTTTTTTTTGTCCCTTTTTTCCATGAATAAATTGCGCAGAATTTATGTGGAAAGTTTTGTGTGTGTCGCAGCATCAGCTCCATTCCCCAGCCCAAAATGAAAGTGGCTAGCGGAGTTTAGATGAATCTGTTTGCCTTAGTCTGATGAGTTATCTGCGCAAATGCAGCGGCGGTGAGTTGTGAGGGGCAGAGCACTTGCAAGTGCGGTAGGCGGCATTGCAGAATTTATAGCTGAAATGTTAATTGAGCATTGGGCGGAGTGCACATCCCAAAGTTGGGCTATTGCAGTTTCGCATCCAAAGTTTTTTCAACTTTACACTTTGAGTGGAATGTGCGAGAGATGGATTTGAAATACGCCCAAGAGTTTAGTTCCTTGCGTCTTGCGGCAAAACAATGCACAATTTCACAATTTCATTTTTCTTCTGTTATGCACAAACAAACTCACAATTATTTACTTGAAGCTCCTAATGCATAATATATATTGTTTCTAGTTAGAATATACATATTCAATGAAAAAACTGTGCTCATATATTTATGACTTGCGGCTTTTTAAATTAAATGTAGTTTTAGTTGAATTCTATTTTGTATGGTGAACATATTTGAAAGTTAGCATACAGGCAAAAATTACACTTTCGCTCACAAGCCTTTCACGAAAAGTGTGAGACACCTCTCAATCACAGAGATTTTGAAATGTAAGTTCGAAGCCAGACAATGGGAACCTACGTCCATAACGTTGATTGGACTTTTCACAACTTAATGTCCAACCACAATTAAGGTAAACGCAGACAAAAATGTCAGCCTCTATCTATTACACTTTGAACCATGCGGTGATGATATATCCGTGAGTGTGTCAAAACTCTTACATATATAGATTGTTGGGCTAACTTTAATCGCCATGCTCATGACATTTTGGGCTCATTCTGGCTAAAACTTGGCTTTTATCAAAAAGTAAGCTCAATTTAGATTACAGTTATTATATTAAACAATTTGTATGTGCTCTATTAGTGTTGTATTTCATAAGTTTAAAAGCAGAGTCTAGCAACCTCTATGGGGAGTTGCGTTCGAAGTGCTACATTTCAGGCCTAAGATCCCTTATCTCCAGTTATTAATGCGCCTGATGTTGTTGTTGTTGTTGTTGTGGTTGTTGTGGTTGTTGTTTAGTGTCGCCAGCGTTGCCAGCCAAGCGCGTGAGGATTAAGATTTACGCCGTGCCATGCCGTGCCGTGCCTAAAAGGAAGGAAAGCATGGAACGTTGCCTGCCCATTCAGTGCGAGTCAGCGCTGACACATGGGTGCTTTATTTCCGACTATCCAAGGCAAAGGCCCACGCCCACAAAATGGTAACCACGAGCCAAGAGCAAGTCACATGTTGCCATGCTACTCGACATTGTCGTAGCCCGTCGTCTGTGACGTTGACGACGACGATGGCGGCGCACTGTGGTTGCTACGTAATATTGCTGAAAACCGCAGAGAGACGCAACAACGTTGCGTATACGTAATATTTTAGAATTTGCTCTCAGCCAAGAACGCCACACGCTTCGCTGCCGCTGTTGCTGCCGCTGTCTCTGATTGTGGCGTCGACTCCGTCGTCGTTTCGTTGGCCCGGCTTCCTTCTGCGTGCCTCTGCGTGTGTGGTCTACCATTATCTGTCTGGGAAGCCATTAATTTTTCAAGATTGATCCGGTATGCAAATTACTTACACAGAATGTGCACGAGCGCCAGCAGCGCTTCCTTCACTGCTTCGCTCTGCTGTCTATTGTGTGCTCTATGCGTGTATCTACGGCTTTGCCTGAGTGTGCGTGGCTATTAGGGTGCGTGTATAAGTGTGTGTCTGTGTGTGTGAATTGAGCACCAAATGTAGCAGCTAAAAATGTTCTTCTTTTTATTTTATTTATTCATTTCTTGTTGCTGCTGTATCTAATTATTTGGGCGTGGCATTTAAGGCAGCACACAATTTAACACGAAACTAGCTGTGATTTAGCGCCCGGGATAATTACCACCGCATTGTCATTAAGTTCGTGTCCATAAATTGTTGAAATTGCCCCAGTTTTAATTGCGTTCCAATGCACTTTTTGCAGCCGCAGCAGACGCACTTCATGCACCAATTTGCTGCGTGAATTGCTCTCGCCAAGTGCCATGGACATTTAGCATGAAGGGCACTCGATTGCATTTAATTCAATAAAAAAAATGGTGTATTTATTTGGAATTTAAGCTTTGGATTGCAAAGCAGATATTTTTTTTCTCTTACTTAAAGTCAAATTATATGTTGTTCATACCTATTCGCCTGCATATTCATAGATAGCTTGGAGCTTCATTTTATTGTATTAATTTAATCCTAGGAGCATACTTGCTAACGCCTTACTCCAAATCAAAACTAGATTCTTCTTCATCCTCTATCGATCCCTGTTCTGACACTTATTGCTGACCAACTACTTATAATACAAAATACAAATACAAATTAAATCTCAGACGTAAAGCTTGCGGCTCACTGAGGTCTTGCTAAAGCTGAAAGTCCCGTTGAGTACATTTTAAAGATGTGTGCCATCTGTAAATGGGTAAAGCATTATCTGCCTCTGGCAGAAACTCTTAGGCATAAGTAGACACGCACAAAACACTCCAGCTGAGCAGCTTTTGTCAAGTATGTTTAATATGTGAGCGTGCCTCCAAAGATCACTTTACGGATGGGCAATGTTAAACAAACAGTCTGTGGCAATGCTGTTGATGATAATGATGGCGATTATGATGAGGGTACTGTTTGCTTACAAGGGAACACAAGCATCATAGGCACACGTTTCATAGAGACACACTACCACCACACACACACACATACACACACCGGCACACAAATTCGTATAAACAAAACGCGAAACTAGCAGCCGCAGTTCTCGTTAACACATCGTGATAACAATCAAAGCGAAACAAAAGCCAACAAAACACAACAAACAGGAACAGAAACAGGAACATTATCAACGGCAACATGGTCAGAACAAAGGGAGGTTCGAGGTCTCAGGTGCGGGCATTTAGACCAAGGATATTTTTGTGTACTAGCGCAGGAAGCGGCGAGCCCCCATGCGTTATCTCAGCGGAGCTTTGCATAAATCAACGTTGCACAACAAATTTTTCTAAAAGCGAACCCAAGCGTTAAATTGGCGTGTATATGTGTGTGTTTCGCTGGAAATTATCTAAGACGCCCAACGTAAAATTCCAAACAAATTGAACTCAAACAGCGCATGCAGCAAACGGCGAGTGGCATGTGGCAAGCGGCAGCCGCGTACAAAAACAAAAATACAAAATAATACTGTAAAGCAAATAAAACACGTCGACGGTCATTTTATTGGCTCATACACACACACACACGGGCTTTAAATGAGTTACATGTTTAACATAAAATTAGCAAATAAATTAAGCGCATGCAAAAGGCGGTTACTGCTCGCATTTACTAAGTCCAGGCGGCGTGTCATTTGGACTTTCAAGAACATTGAATTAATTTAAAATTTTGAACTGGCTTAGCTGAAACTTTAGCTGATTACCATACATTATTTTTATAATTTTGTGAGTCATATAACACGAATCCACTTTGTTTTCCATTGTAAGGAAAATAATCGAAAATTATCGCCGTTGCCCAGTTTAAAGACAAAAATTTAAATGATACTCAGAAGGGAATTGAAACATTTATAAGATTATGGACACAAATATATTAAAAGCAATTTAGTAATCAGAGCTCTAAAATGTATGCAATAGCTTTTTACAGCTAATATGCTGTTGCTGTAGCTTAGCAACTTATATCAACGGAGGATCGGAGGCTCATCAAAAATGAGTAAATTATGCATTTGATTGGAATCGAAAAACAAAAGCTATACTTTGTTTCCATGTATAAAACTGTTTGCCTTCTTTGATTGCCTGATTTATTAACGAACATCCCGAACCCTAAGAAACAAGAAGCGATATTTCCTCAGCTTAGAATACAAAAGATATCGCCATGGAAAGACTCTTCTGACAGAGTATTGCTCAGTTCGATTTATGCATTGATAAAGTTTTCACATGTTCTAATTTTCATATGCAATGTGGCCAAACTTGACATGCTCATTAATCGTTATCTATTCGAAAGGCAGTCAGTCAGTCATAAGTACTTAAGATAAAAATAAATGTTGCCAATGAGTACTTAAGGCGCATGTTTCAGTTGTACTTAACACAGATAATGAAATTCAAAGGTTAAATCAATGGAATCATCAATCATTTCGCAGGATATTAACAAAGTTTATAGAACAATTCGCGTCCGACATCTTGGCGGTTGTGTGTGCTTTTCTATTCGCCGGATTCAATGTTATGTGCGAGCGTATTTGTATATTCATTTGTGTGTTCCATTTAATATTTCAGCCGCAAGACAATTGCTCTTAATAATGTTGGATAGGCGCGTGTTATGAGTGCCGGATAGGAAATGCCGCAGAATTTTAATTTATGTATATTCGCCTACTCACGCACACACACACACACACACATACAGAACCCACTTGTGTGTGCTGCGAGTTTTTCATCGACATTTAATTGAAAATAACTCAAGCGTGTCAGCAACGCGCGCGGTTAATGAGCGAGAAACTCGCATGTCTGTCGCGACAGCCACTGCCACACACACTCTCTCTCTCTCTGTCTCTCTCTCGCTGTCTCTGTTTTTATCTCTTTCACTTAGTGTTCATCTTGCTTTAACTCTCACTGTGCGTATGCCACATGTCTGGCGACCGAGCGCTTTTTGCCAGCACGTGAATGACATCAATGACAGTGAAAAGGCGTTTTTCTGCACTTAATGAGCACGACGCAGGGTGGACCAAGGCGGCGCCAGGGGCTGAGTAACGACATATACAAACGCTCTCCCTCTCTAGCAAAAGCTAAGCAAGTTTTTTGGTTTTTTCCCCTATTTATTTATGTTTTTTTTTTTTTTTTTTTTTTGGCTTTTTATCTGTGCTATCTCTGCTGGCTGCGTGTGACAAGTTTATTTATGTGTCTGAAAAGCAACCAAATGAAAAAGTAGCGGAAGAAGAAGTAGCTGCAAAAACTTAAAGACGTCACCCGACACAATTTTTTGTCTGTCATTCTGTGATCTGCGCATAAAGTTGCGCGGGCAAGCCAAACGAAATGCATGTAACATAATTTGGCTTAAGTATTGCGCCCATATCAGGTCACTTTCGAAATAAACATTCCAGCCAAGTCCAGATAAGCTGGTTGTCAGTATTTAATGGAAAACTACAAGTGAAACTCGAAGCGCAGCTTTTATTAATTGAGTCAAAATTATAATAGCAGCTTAAGTTCTTAGCTCTACCTATCTTAAGTCTTTTAGACTCCGAGATATGCTCATAAAACAGCATTTCGATATCGATTATAGGTGTATAATTGGAAAAGTGGCAAGATACCGATTACTTAAATTAAATTCCTATTACTTCTTTCGCAAAGTCAGGCAGACAGACGGACATGGTTAGATAGATTCGGCTGAGAACTTAGATGAAAATTGACCCAACACTATTATACTCCATTTACCAATTTTCAATAGCTTCCGGGTATAAAGTATATAAAATAGAAATTGCTGTAGTTATAGCCGCAAGACCAAATGTGAATGCATTTGTTTGGCCTAAAGTGCAAAACAATAGCTTAAACAACTTAGAAGCCAGAGGAACGCATGTCACGACCTCACATGCGCCCATGGATAATATGGGCAATGTGACTTGCTTGCACTAGAACAATATTAAACTTTGGTTATTTATATTAAAATATTGCTATATTGATGTGGTTGTTTACATTTGGGTGAGTTTTTTGTTAAATTTTATGAACACAGTGGCTTAGTTCTTGCCAAGCTGTTGCCTGGCAATACATAAAACAACCGACTACCGAAAACCAAAAACTAACCCATATACAGCGGAGGGGGGCATAAACCATGTGTAGCCTCTCATTTCTTTTGCTTACTCGTTTGACCTTTTTTGTTGGATTGTTTTGTGCATGTGTTCGGCAATATCCTGGCTAAGAACGAGTTGACCACAAAAAAGGCAGAAGCCAAAATAAAAAGCAAATAGAAAGCACAACGAGCTGCAAATAAAAACCAAACCCAAGCAATCAACAAATACATTTCCACAGCACCTTATAAAAGTATTTGAACCTTATGCTGACCAAATTTTATCGCATTTGACACACAAACACACACACACATACACATACACACTTATTGGCATTGATTTTGGCTTTTATTAGCTTGAGCAGCCGCAGCGCAGAAGTTGCCAAGTCGCACTCGACTTGACTCCATCGTTGCCTGCCTTGTCCCCCAATCCCCACAGCTGGCACAGCCCCCACTTCAGCTTCAATTGCCCTAATCCATTGCAAAGGCGGCGTGGGATCACGTACAGCATGCACAGCGAGTATATCTTTTTAAAAACATTGTTAAAGTTTTGCTTCACTTGTGCTGATCCAATGCTACTCCTTTGCCCCCCAATCAATCCACTTTTTATATACATACATGGATATGTATGTATTTTTTTTTATTATTGAATTCGAGTTCAATTTGTTTTTATTGATTTGCCATTTTGCACTAGCCCCAGAGATGTGACGGAAATTGTCAATGTTTTACAATAGTTGCAGCCACCACTCGTTACCACTACCCCTTTTCAACCGTTAGCCCCTACCCTTGCCATTCGACATCATCATGGCTTTTTGAGTTTTATGTGCACTTGATAAAATTTCAATAGTTAAACCCCTGCCGTACCCGCCGTCCGAGGGGTCTGAGGTCTGGGATCTGTTGTTTTTCGCGCCCTTTGCCTTTCTGGGCTGCCTTTAGTTTTATGTGATATTAAAATTGATAGCAAATCGCTGCTGCTGCAACGCAGTTCAAGTGCGCGTTGCTTGTTGAGCGGCCATGAAAGACAGGGAGAGGGAGAGTGAGAGAGAGAGAGACGAAGAGAGATAGAGGGAGAAGCGGAGGCATTGGAGGTAACAGCTTTGACTTTTATGGCGCTCAGCAAGTCCTGGCGCTTTGGTAAATTGATTTTCATGCGATTTTCAATAAAGCCAATTCCATATTGCGCATACGCACTGTGTGCCATGGCATGCTTTATGCTTTGCTTACATTGCTTGAGCATTTTTATAAATACAAATTCAAAAGAATAACTTAAGTACAAATTCATGCGACCGACCGTATAGTTGTTATGAAATAGCTTCGAAATGGAAAAATAACAGAGCCAAGCCTAAGCCAGCATAAAGATTTCAACTGTAACAGTTTTTATAATAAGTGGTCAAGAATGATGAATAATAAAAGGACAAACTCCAAGAGCGTCATCTTTTTCTATGTGACCATTAGTAATACGAATAAGACTGAATAAGCGTGTAGAAACCTTAGATCGCAGTAGAAATAGTCATTTGTAGTATTTGCACGTTATTGACAAGAAGAAA